AAATGTTAAATACCCCAATTCTTTGATCTTGGGGCTGAAGGAAGAGCAACACTCGGTGTTTAAATGCTTTAATCGATACACTCTTATTATTCCATACAAATACCATGAGAAATACAATCATCCGGATGGGAGATGTGCACAAAGAGGGTCACAGCGGATCTCAAAATGTCGGACCGTCACTCAAACTCTAATAGCCTCTGGTGGCCCCCACCCAGTCATAAAACCTAAACATCCACATTCTTTCTATCTCTCAGTGAGTCTAAGTTACGATCTCGGCTCCCTGTTTTTCTGCTCCTGGCTAATGTGAGGGAGAAGCTCCCGTGCAGTGTGCTCTGTTCTTTCTACAATCAGAAAAGTAAGGCCATGATTCCCTGCAAACAGTTTTCTCTTCATAAATCAGCATATGAAGTACCATAAAACAGTGTAACTCATTCACAGTAAATCAGCAGTATGAAGTAATAATAATAATAATAATAATAATAATAATAATAATAATAATGTAATACAAATCAGGTGAATAAATCTAACAATCTTCACCTTCTAAATCAGGAGTATAATGCAACCTAAAACTACATAATGATTTCACAATCTTTAATCAGCCGTATAATGATTCAACAATTCTTTGATTAGAGGTATGATGTAACATACAACAGTGTAATAATCTCACAGTATTGATCCAGGTGTTGTTGTCATGTTTTTATGTGCCAGTGTTTTTCATTTTTGATGATTTAAAAATGGAGATGCCATTTCTAATTACAGCAGGTTTGTTGTCAGTAAAGATGTTTAATTTACTTTAAAACACTCCAGTTTAAGAACAGAGAGGTCAGCTCTGTGTTCTCCATATGAGGTGGCTGTAGAGCAGGTCCTCTACCAAAATGAAAGGGTGGTGATTTGATCCTTGGCTCCTTAAATCGGAATGCCAAATATCCTTGAGCAAAATACTAACCCTGATGCAGCCATCAGAGTGAGAATGTTAGATAGAAGGATAGAAATGCAGAGG